CACACACATACAGACATACTTGCCATGAGACAGCTTAGCTGCAGCTCACTGGGGACAAGGCAGGCAGCTCTCCTCAATAAATGGTGCTGGAACTGGTCATGGAGGTGACGAAATTAAATCCTTAATCTCACGAAAATTGAAGAAATCCTATCTTACCACACACTAAAATCCATCCCAAGTGTGTAAGGACCTGAATATGGGAAACAAAAGTTTAGAAGTTTTAGAAGAAAATGCGGTAGAACGTCTTTATGAAATTGGGAGTAGGGAAGGACTTTGTAAGCGAGACTCACTCCACAGGCACAAGTCTCTAGGGAAGAAATTTCAATTAGACCACATCCAAGTGAAAATCTGTGCATTAAAAGTCACAGTTGATTAAAAGACATCCCAAAGACTGGAAAAAAAAAGATTTGTAATGCACATAGCAAATTTAGGTTTGAAAATCAGAATATACAGGGACTTCCCTGGTGGCACAGTGGTTAAGAACCTGCCTGCCAGTGCAGGGAACATGGGTTTGATCCCTGGTCCGGGAAGATCCCACAGGCTGCAGAACTACAAAGCCCGTGCACCACAACTACTGAGCCTGCACTCTAGAGCCTGCGAGCCACAATTACTGAGCCCGCATGCCACAACTACTGGAGCCCATGTGCCTAGAGCCCGTGCTCTGCAACAAGAGAAGCCGCTGCAATGAGAAGCCCGCGCACCGCAACAAAGAGTAGCCCCTGCTCGCTGCAACTAGAGAAAGCCTGCGCGCAGCAGCGAAGACCCAATGCAGCCAAAAATAAATAAAGAGAAGCAATGGGATAATATATTAAAGAAAAAAAGAAAATCAGAATATACAACAACTTCTCCAAATAAGTATCAGAAAGTAGAGAAACGGACAAGAGATGCGAAAAGATAATTTATGGAACAGGAAACACCAGCGTCCAATAAACACATGCAAAGATGCACAACATCACCAGAAACAAGTTAAATTAAAACTGCAGTGAGATGCCAATTCACACCCATAGGTTGGCAAAAAGTATAAAGTCTCACAAGGCCAAATGTGGCCGAAGGTGTGTACCATGAGGACCCCTGAAAAATGTCTTCTCACTGTGTATTAGGGTGAAAGATGTAGGTGCCCTACAGCTCTGCTGTCCCGCTTCTGGAGAAACCTCACCCACCAGCTCCAGGAGTCCACAAATACCCACAGCAGGACTGGTTGCAAAGCAAACATTGCAAGCCTCATGCATATGCATTAACAGGAGATCGGATAAGTGCATTTTGATATAATCATATCAGGTAGCGTTACACACAAGCAGAGATAACTGAACTGGGGCTATAGGTTAAACATTTACCAGCACACCGCTGGGTGGAGGTTGTACTTCGGGAACCCTAAGGCCTGTGGTGGGGAGGTGACTGATCTGAGCAGCCCCTGGATAAGTCCTAGGACCTCTGTGGGCACAATCGAGGGGGTGGATTGGGCTGAAAATGAGGAAGGGTTTTCTAACAGGCCCGGCTGCCCAAGGGTGAAAAAGACTCTCTCCTAAGGGAATGACTTCCCTGTCACTGGAGGTATGTGAACAGGGCTGCTTAGTGGGCAGTGAACCAAGCAATGGATACCAGAAGTGCAGAGGCGGGGTTGGATGAAGATGGTCTTTATGACCCCTCTACGCACGCCCAGGGGCCCCGTGCTTCTGTGATTCAGTGAGTTTGCAAAGTGTGGTTAAAAGAGGACTGACTGAATGAATAACCAAAGTGTGACACATCCCTGGATGGAACGCTGCTCACTCATGAAAGGGGATGGACCACGGCTCATGCAACAGCACACGGATGGATCTCAGAAACATACGGTGTGAAAGAAACCTTGTGCAAGAGGCCGAATACCGTGATTCCATTTATGTGAAATGCTAGAAAATGCAAAGGAATCTGTAATGACAGAAAGCAGCTCAGAGCTTCCATGTGAGGGTGCAGGGGGTGGGGACACGGACTGCGCAGGGGTGCGAGGAAACCTTCCACGGAAATGAGAATGTTCTCTGATGTTTGGCATCTTGACTGGTGGAGATTTCATGGGTGTATGTATCTCTGAAAATGAATGGAATTGTACACTTTAAATGGATTCATTTATTATACGCAAACTATGTCTCAATATAGATACTTAAAAACAAAAAAGAAAAAGAAAAGGTGAAGAGGCCTGGACAGGAGGCTGGGGCTGCTGCATCTTGGCCTTGGTCTCATGCACAAGAGCCTCAGTTTCCCCATCTGTAAAATGAGAGTATTGGACAAGGAGACCTACGTTCACTTCCAGTGTAGTGGTTACAAGTGTGCCGCGTCATCTGGGGCAGATTCATGAACTTCTCTGGGCCTCGGTTTTCTCATCTGTAAAGCGGGGGAACAATAGAGCCACCACCAGCCTGGGCTTAGAGCAGTGGCCGCTGTGCTGGAAGCACGCAGAGACTGCCACTGCCCTTCTAGCCTCGCAGACACCTGGTGGCTGTGGTCCAGGCTGCCTCACTCCCTATCTTGTTCCCCTGCCAACCCTGGCCTATCCTCACAGCCCCAGAGCCACCGGCAGATCGGGGCCATCTCAAGGTCCCTGAGTCACTCTCATTACAGGTCACAAGTTCTTCAGGGGCAACTTCTTGTCTTCCTTGTTTTGTATCCACAGCAGTACCAAGCCCGGAGCCAGGTATTCAAGTGGTGTATAATGGGTGCACGTGGAATGAAGGAGGGAGTCGAGTGGACCTAATTTCGGAAGAATTTTGCTTGGGTTGTCCTGGAGAAGCGGCTTTCTCAGGATGGAGGGCAGGTGCAATTGTAGTGCTGTCATGGCCATGTATGGTTGAGAAGGTTGTTTACTGCACAAGGAAGCTCCACCCCCGGGGACAAACGGGGGATAAAACCCAGTACATATAGCTCTTTCCGAGTCACGTGACCATACTCATTGGCTGTGTCTTCCCAAAGAGGTGCATTATTCTTTTTTCTTTTCTTTTCTTCTTCTTTGTTTTTGTTTTTTTTTTTTTTGCGGTATGCGGGCCCCTCACTGTTGTGGCCTCTCCCGTTGCGGAGCACAGGCTCCGGACGCACAGGCTCAGCGGCCATGGCTCACGGGTGCAGCCGCTCCGCGGCACATGGGATCTTCCCAGACCGGGGCATGAACCTGCGTCCCCTGCATCGGCAGGCGGACTCTCAACCACTGCGCCACCAGGGAAGCCCTCTTTTCTTCTTTTTTAAATAAACATTTTATTTTGGAATAATTTTAGACGTACAGAAAAATTGCAAGGAAAGTAAGAGAATTCACCATATCCTTCACCCAGTTTCCCCTTACGTTCACAGCATTTACATAACCACAGTGCATTTGTCCAAACTAAGACATTAACCTTGGTACAATAGTATTATCTAATTTCAGATTTGTCTTGTATTTTACTACTTTTTCCATTAATTTATTTTTCTTGTTCCAGGATCCAATCCGGGATCCCACATTGCACTTAGTACGTTGTTCTTGTTAGATTAACACAGAGGTTTTCCTATGGGATCGGGATTGCAGCGGTTGGGAAAAGAATGTGGATTTGGGGCAGCAGTCAGGACAAAGTCCTTAGGTGGCCTGTGAGGTGCCCAGGCTGGGTCATAGGGGGACGCTTGGCCTTCCTGACCCCGGCTGGGCGCCGTGAAGTGCTTTCCACTGTCTCGGCTCAGCCCATGCAAAGCACAGAGCGAAGACGTCGAAGTCGGTTGGCAGGTTTTACTCATTGGCTGGCCAAGTTTTTGGAGCCGGTCCTTGGGGAGGTAGCATTTCCCTTTCGGCAGAAGCTGTCTTTGGGAACCCTGTAACTTGTGTGGAAGGTCTGGGAAGGTTCAGATCCAGGTGCTGGAGTGACGGGGGTGGGGTGGGGGGGAGGTGGGGGGGATAGAGTGGGAGTGGCGCTGGCTGCCTAGCACTGGGTGCTCCAAATTCTCTGGCTGGTTTCCCGGTTTGACCTGAGTGACCCACCTGGGGTGGGTGACGAGTGGCTTTGCCCATCCCCTCCTGCCCCTTGTCCCTGCAGCCGGAGGGGTGCTGGGCACGGGGAGCGGTGGCAGAGAAGAGTGAACGTGAAGCCCGCTGCGGAGATCCACTGCTGCTCCGATCCCGAGGCCCCTCGAGGCTGAGGGGCGCACTCGCCCTCCCCACCCACGGCAGATCTCAGGCTTTGTCCCCCAGACAGCAGCGGGGGTGACAGAAGAGTTTGGAGTCACCTGGCCCTGGGTTTGAGTTCAGGCTGGGTGATCCTAGTGAACCAACTGGCTTCTAAGACCTTCTGTCTCAGCATTGTTCAAACGGGCCACGGCTCCTGAGCCAGCGCGCCTGGTCCCCCAGGGCTGCCTCCAGCACCGGGCCTGGCTGGCGTGGGGCACTGCCCATCACTTCCCTTGACGTTTCCCCTTCTCTGTCAGCTGATCCCCACCTCCCTTCCTGCCCCATCATATCCCCCCCATATCTCTCCCATCGTTTCGCACTCAGGGGGTCCCACAATGGCCCCCGCTTGGGGAGCATCCGTGTCTTCCCCTCTGGAGAGCCCTGTCTCTGACACTAGCTTTCAAGTGCCACCTCGAAGGCCCTGGCTCGCCCTCTGTGTAACTCTGAGGTCCCCTCCCTGTCAATCCTCCGTGGCCCCATCACTTCCTGCCTTGTTTTATGGACACGTGTGATGAAGCCGTATCTTCCTGCTCACATCCTAGACTCACCAGTACCCGATCCTGTGCCTGGCACACAGTAGGTGCTCATTAAATGCTTATTGACCAGAACCGAGGTGAACTACATTCTTAGGAGCCTCAGGTTCTTGGAGAACAGCTCTGGCCCTGTCCGTGGAAGTGAGTCTCCAGCCCAGAGGGTCCCCAGGTCTCCTACTGGAGTCCCGGAGCAGGGATGCCTGGCAGGGGCCCAGCCCAGCCCCTGAGGGCCACCCCACCCTTGAGCCATTCGGCCAGACCGCAGGCTCCGCCTCCTGCAAACGGCCGTGGGGGCAGCAGCTTGGGTAAGTTCCCCTTCCGCTTCCTCCTGCCTCCTGTCCCGCCGCTGCTGCTCCTTGCTCAGGGCACCTCTCCAGCTCTCCATACCCCTGTGTCTGCAGAAGCGCTCCGGGCCCTGAGCTGTCAGCACCACCGCCCTCCAGGCCTCGGACACGATGCAGGCCATAAAGTGTGTGGTGGTGGGAGATGGGTAGGTACCCGGTTGGACTTGCTGACAGCTCCGTCCCGGGGTAGCCCTGGCCCCCCCGCCCCCCGCCCTGGCGCCCCTGGGGAAGCCCCCTGCCCTGCAGATGGAGGGGTCCCTGGGAGGCCGCCGGAGGAACGGCTCCCTTCTTCTCCCAGGGCCCAGAGGGAACCCCAGGGGTGGGCTGAGGACAGCTCCACTCTGTCTGCCCACCTCACCCCGGAAGCTGCCTTGGTGGAGAGTACAGGACTAGGGTTGGGGGTTCCTGGGGCCTCTCGCCTGCACCCTGAGAGCTGAGGCTGGTCTCCCATGGGCCCTCAGGCTTCGGTTCTGTGGATGCCGGCTCGGGGTGGGGGGAGGTGGGTCCCCAGGCTGACCTGGGCTCTAGTCACTGGCTTGCGCTGCTGTGTGGCCTTGGGCAAGTCACAGCGCCTCTCAGAACCTCAGCTTGGCCATCTGGAAAGAGGCCCATGCCCGCAGGGTTGATGTGGGGCCCCTTGCGATATTTTGACTGGTGGTCCTGCACGTAAGTGTGTTTGGTGAAGCCGGCCTGGGGAACTTGGGAGCTTGCGCGGGGGCTGTGGGTGAGGAGCAGAGGGGGGAGGGGCGTGAGAGACAGAGCTGCGGGAGGAGGAGGAAGGGGGAGGGGCGTGAGAGACAGAGCTGCGGGAGGAGGAGGAAGGGGGAGGGGCGTGACTGGGGGCCAGGGTGGGCCAGGCTGAGACGAGGCGACTTCTCAGCTGTTACATCTCAGCGACCTCCGGTTGTCATGTCCCGCTATGGGCCTCAGTTTCCTCATCTGTAAAGTGACAGCTTTGATGTGCCCGTCTCTCGTGCCTGCCAGCAGCGCTGTCTTAGGGTCCAGCCTGCAGGTACCGCCTGGGGTTTTCTGTAGGTCCAACCCCGACACGTTCCCGCTGGTCTGGCTGGGCAGGCCTCTTATCCAACCCTCCCATCCTACTGCGGGGCAGCCTGAGGCCTTAAGAGACTCGATTTTCCCGGCCTGGGGTGGGCTGGTTTATCAGGCAGCCCTCCGCTGATGCACGTTATCTGCCTGCCTGTCCAGCCCTGTTCACTTCTGCTTTATATCTGATCTGAGGAGGGGAGGGCGGAAGCCAAGGGCAATGTTCCAGTCACTTAGAGTTACCTTGTTGGCAGGCCCGGGGCAGGGGGTGGGGAGAAGAGGGCAGCCGGTCTCCTCCGAGCAGGAAGTGACGAAACCAAGTTGGGCAGGGGAAGGCCCAGGGCTATCTGTGCCCCCTGCCCCCTCCCAGCCCAGCAGACTGAGGGCGAAGACTGCACGAGTAATGGCGATCACTACTAACTTAGTACTTACTATGTGCAGGCCCTGGGCCTAGTCACACTCCTCTGTTTTATCCTCCCACCAACCCTAATATTAGGCCCATTTTACAGTTGGGAAAACTGAAGCTCAAAGAAGTTGTCATTTGCCCAAGACCTCATGGGATTTGGAATCCTGGTCTCTCTGATTCCTAAACTCCATGCTCTTACAGCCATGGTGAGGTGGGAGGGAAAGAGGAGGGTCAGGCTTTCCCCAGTATTTGCTGCTGCTACGCTGTGCCAGGACTGTGCTCAGTTCTTTTACCGGCTTCGTCTAATTTACCTCTCGGTCCATCCTATGAGATGAACTCATCTTATCCCTATTCTTATCCCTATTTTCTGGATGGGGAAACTGAGGCATAGGGAGGTTAAGTGACTTGCCTAAGATCATGCTACCCCTAGGCAGGTGATGAAGCTGGGATCTGGATCCCAGGGGAGTGATGGCAGAGCTCTGGGCAGGTACCAGGGGCCTCCTGGGGACCCCCTGCTCTTAACCCTCTGTCTCACATCCTTGTCACCTGGGGAAGCCTGTTACAATACAAATTCCCAGATCCAGCCCACACCCCTGATTCAGAATCTCTGGGGTAGGACCTTGAAGTCTGTCCTTTAACAAACACCCCAGGTGACTCTTAGGTGTGAGAACGCTGATACAGGGATTCTCAGACGGGGACACTGATGCCCAGAGGGGTGGGCCTGGGTCTTCTCTGAGGGCTGGGCTAGGGGACCGGGCAGGTGCTGAGAAACCTCCCTGAGTGTCGGGCAGGGCCCATGACCACTGTCCTCTCGAACTTCCTGTCTTGCAGAGCCGTGGGCAAGACATGCCTGCTTATCAGCTACACCACCAACGCCTTCCCGGGAGAGTACATCCCCACCGTGTGAGTTCTGTGCGTGGGCAGGGCGCTCGGAGGCTGGGGAGACACGCATCACCAAGCCCACCCCCTTTTCAGGCACATCCTGTGAGCCTGAAAGTCAGCCTCCAGCCAGTCTCTGCCTGCCAGAGCTGCCCACTGGTTCAGCCGGGGAGGCAGCAAGCAGCGCCGGGATGAGTGCTGAGGGCCCCCAGAGGGGAGAGAGGCTGCCGCGGGGTGGCCAGGGAGCGGGTGGCCTTCCAGCAGGGAGATGCGGAGGGCTGGCGTGAGCAAAAGCAGGGTAGAAGAGGGGCTGGGGCGAGTCATGGAGGGCCTTGACACCGGGAGATCAGAGACATCAGGGCCCAGTGTGTGCCGGGGGAGAGGGCAGTGCCACCTGGAGGCCTGCCCGCGTGTTGGATGTGGTGGCAGGGCTGTCACCTGATGCACAGGTATGTAGGAGTATGTGGGGTGAATGGGAAGCATCGGCCCCCTCTCACCGGTGCTCGGTGGCCCCATCCCTCTCAGAACAGCCCCCCAACTCCATAGTACAGCATCCAAGGCTCTGTGTGGCCTTCTCCCACCTTCCTTTCTGGCTTCATAGCCCAGTACTTTGCTTCTTGTCCCGTCTGCTTCCCGCCCCTGGTCACCAAGCACTCCCTGGGCATTTCCACCTCAGGGCCTTTGCTCCAGCTGCTCCCTCTTCCTGGACTGCTTTTCCTTCCCACGTCCACATGTCTAAGACCTCCAGGCCAGCTCCAGTGTCTGCTCCCCCAGGAAGCCTTTCTAATCCAGCCTGAAAGTGTCTCTCACTCCCCAGAGAGATTTTGTCTGATCTTTCCCGTGATCACGAGCCTACGGCGGGCAGGGGGCCACGTCCAGTCCTTTCTGGGTCTCCCCGTTGTCTTAGGAGAGTGTCTTACGCACAGTGCAGTCTGCACATTGCCTTAGACACGATATATCTGTTTTGAGTCGACCTGAACTGAACTTCATGGAGAGGCTCTAGGAGGATGGATCACTGCTACCATCTATCAAGGGCCTACTGTGTCCTGGTCCCCGGACGAAATGTCACACGTGTGATCTCATTCGATGCTCATGGGAGGAGGTGGCTATTATTCTAGCCCCAGGGTGCCTGCGGGGGAAACTGAGGCTCACAGCAGCTAAGGGGCCTGTCCCCCAGGGTCACCAGGTGGGCTGGGCTCCCTCTACTGATATGTCTCCCTGGGACACTGGCCCTGGCTCCAGTTGCCTCAGGGACCCCAGCCCGGGCAGGAGGATGGCAGCGAGGAGAGGGCAGAGAAACCTGGGTAGGAAGCCTGGAAAACTGATTTCTGCCCCGGTTCATTTCGCAACTCCTGCTATGGCGCCAGTGCCCCTCTCCTCGTCGGCCCTTACCTGCTCGCTCACCACCAATCACCCAATGCCTTCTGGGGCTGAGGGAGGGCTGGCTCTAGCCTTCTGGTGCTGAGGGAGGGCTGGCTCTAGCCCTGAGCGGGAAGGCAGGTGCAGAATCGGGGAGGGCCAGTCTCCCCAGGACGGTGCTGGCGCTACCTGTGTCCTGTCTGCCTGTTGCAGCTGGGCTGGAGGGCCCACCTGCTTAAAGACCTTAGACCAATCGCTTCCCCTCGGTGAGCCTCAGTTTTCCCTTTCTTTAAGAGGAGGGGCAGGGCTGGGACATGCCAAGCTCATTGCCCCGGGGGCCTTCCCTGTGCAGGGAGGTGGGCGGCGGCGAGTTCTCTGGTGCAAGATGGTGGGACCAGCAGAGACCGAGGTAGGGTCAATTGCACTCAGCAGCCCGGAGAGACTGGCCCCTGGTGGCCGTGAGTGGATTCGGTGGTCCTGGACAACCTTGTGGAAGGACAGACAGAATGGACCAGACAAGGTTTACCTTCCCAGGACTCAGGGGTTGGGTCAGAGAGCAGGGCCGGCTCCTGGGTGAGCCGTCTAGGCAGGCACACACTCGGGTGGGTCCTGTACTTGGTTTAATGCTCAGATGCCCCATCCTGAAATTCTTAATGTTTGAACAAGGGTCCCTGCATTTTCATTTTGTGCTGGACCTGCCAGGTGTGTAGCCAGGCCTGCATCCCACCGTCTTTGTCTTCCATATGGAGTTACTCGGCTCTGGACAAGCCCCCAGAGGGGCTCCTGCTACAGTGCTCGCACCCCTGTGACAGGGAGGGGAAAATAAGCCACCCTGAGCCCTTGACAGTGGAGGGTGGGGACAGCCGGGGAGAGCAGAGTTGGGCAAAACAGGTAGCCTGAGATCTCTGGCACAGAGACAGAGGTCAAGAGAGCTCTGGGGCTAGGGGTGGTAGGGTTTGCTGGGGCCGGAGGCAGGTGCCAGTGGACCAGATCAGATAAGCAAGAGAGCTGAGCTGAACTTGCTGCCTGCGGGTTGGGGGATAAGAGCTCAGGGTCAAAGCCCTGTCTCACAGATGGGGAGACCGAAGCCTGCTCTGTGGATGGCCCTGTGCTGGGGGTTGGGGATACAAAGACAAGGCAGGAAGACCCTGCTCTCAGGTACCTGTGACCTAGGGGTTCTCCCCTTTCCCCTCTGCTTATGATCATTCTCAAACGGAAGCCCAGGTGAGCTTTCAAAAGCGAAAATTAGATAGAGCCTAAATTCCTCCCTTAAAACCCACCTCTTACTCCATTCTGGTCCTCGGGGACCAGACACGCCAGCCTCCCCCAGGCTTCTGCACTCACCACTTCCATCACTCAGTTCCCGGCCGAGGAATCCCCTCCCTGACACACTGTCTAAAGCAGCCCCTCTCTCCACCCAGGCCCCCTCCATCTCTCCACCCTGCTTGACATTCTTCGCAGCCCTTCCCCATCTGCCTTCTCCTGCTGGGATGGAAGCTCCATTAGAACAGGGCCCTGGTCTGTCTAGTTCACTAGACCAGGGGTCCCCAACCTCTGGGCCACGGCCTGTTAGGAACCCGGCAGCACAGTAGGAGGTGAGCGAGCGAAGCTTCATCTGCGGCTCCCATCGCTCCCATTGCTCGCATTACCGCCTGGACCAGCACCCCCCCTCCCCCCTTCCCCCCCCCTCCCCTGCCCCTGCCTCGCGCATTCCGTGGAAAAATTGTCTTCCATGAAAGAAGACATGGTGCCAAAAAGGTTGGGGACCGCGGCACTAGAGCAGCTTCTAGAGATGAGCACATGGCTGGTGCTCTGTAGTGACAGGGCCAGCCTGGCAGGCAGGGAGGGCATGTTCCAGCCTGTCCTGAGAAGGTGCTGGAACTCACACCAGCAGGGGGCTCAGCTCTGTGGGGGCTTGTCTCTGGGAAGGAAGAACACAGGTGGTTAATTTAGGTCGGAGGGGCCAGTACTCGGTTTTCACCTTCCTTTGTAAACTGGCAAATCCAGCCCAGATTCCCATGGACAGGATGACGTGCAGCCTCCCTAGTGGACGTACCAAGCTTTCGGGCCTGGCCTCGCACCTCCCCCTCGCCCCATACTCTTGCCACCAAGCGAGTTATTCCCTCACTGTGTGCTGCTGGCTCAAGCCTCCCCACTGCTCGCACACGCCCTCTGGCCCCTTGCATCCCACCTGGGACACCTCTCCGCTCCATCTCCTCCAACCACCCACCTCTCTCACCGGTGGCTCCGTCTCCCAGCTTCCCCTCTGACCCTTCTCCAAGACTTTTCCACCCAGTGGCCAAGAGGGCCTTTTCCAAATGCAAAGCTGATCATGTAAGCCCTGCCTGGTGAAGCCCCTCGCTGGCTCCCCATTGCCTGGAGGACCACGCCCCGAATCCAGCAGTGGTCCATACCCCACCTGACCTATCAATCCTCCCTGGTCCCCAGGTCACAGCCATGCATGCCCTGTGGTCTCTGTGTTCTGTGAGTCCACCTTCTTTCCCCTGGAAGCTTGGGTAGTGGTCAGGTGATGCCCGGCGCTGAGCGCCCTTTCACCTGCCCCCCATACCCCTCCTCCACTGCAGCCCTGGGGGTGCAGAAAGAAGCCACACAGACTCTGGGTGAAAGCACTCCAGCCGTGTGACCATGGGCAGGTCACTCTCCGGCTTTGACTCAGTTTCCTGCTGTGTGAAAGGGGCACCATGGTAGAATCCACTTCCTGGGCTCACTGAAACGATCTAAGTATGAAGGGCCTGGAACAGCACTTGGCACCCCTAGGTGCCCAGCCAGCGTGAGCTCCCTGCCCTCTCCACGGCTCCCAGTCAGCCCCCAGACCCCAGCTCAAACTCCGCTGAGTCTCCAGCCATGAAGTCGCAGTGACGCTTACGCCATGAGCTTTTCTGAATTGGGTAACAGGATCTAGTTCTGGCTCTGCCCCCAACTGACTGCGAGATCTTGGGCAAGTCCCTTCCTGTCTGTGAGCCTCAGTTTCCTCATCTGGTAAATGGGAGTGAGGGTTGGCCGCAGTGGTGGTCTAAGGCTCCTCTGGTCCTGGCTCCCTGCGGGTCTCTGAAGTAGGGGACCCCGGGAGTTGTGGATCATTTTGTCCCTGCAGTGATCCCTCAGGGTCTGGCAGCTGGTCCTCTGTGGGGGGCGGGTGACGTTGAAGGATGAGACTGTTCAGCTCCTCAGCATCTCCCCATGAGGTGGCTTGAATATCCTCTGTCCCTGGATCTTCCTAATGGCCCCAAGAGATAGGGCTTTTTTCACAATGGAGAAAGTGAGGCTCGGAGAAGCTGGGTTACTCACCCAGGGTCACACAACCAGGACAAGGCTTCACAAGGAACTTACTGTTCCCTCCCACCTCTGGGTGGCCATCCCCGGGCGAATCAACCCTCCTGCAGCGCATCTGTCCACTCTCTCGCTCACAAATGAGTGTACAGAGGCAGCCAGGTTCAAATCCCAGCTCCTATGCTTGTGAGCTGGTTGGCCTTGGAAGAGTTATTTGACTTCTTGGGGTCTCAGTTTCCTCAACTGTCTAATGGCAAGAACTTGAGGTTCTTTTATCTTGGGTCACTTGGGACTTCAAGACCTAATGTATGAAGGTCTCTAACCCTCTGACCAGCCCCAGAGCAGGTGTTTGGTGCTGCTACAAGTCCCAGGAACCAGCTCTTTCCCAGTTGCCACGGCCCCTGAGACCCTGGAGTTGGCTCAGAGAAGACAGATGCCTTTGGCTCAAGGAATCTTGGGGGTTTTTTGGTGTCAGAATTTCAGACTGGACAGTAAAGGAAAGAGTGTCCCTGCATCCTAAGCTCATCCCAAAGGAGTGTTTCTGGCAGAAGCCGAAGAAAGCATGGACACTTCTTTCCCCATCATGCCCAGCGATGTCTCCCTGAACAGTGCCTTCCGCCTGAAATCCCACTATGGTATGGGTGGTACCAAGAGTAGGTCCACAGGGCACCTACTACGTGCCAAGTGCGATGCTGGCCTTGGTGCAGTGAGGAACAAGCCAGACTTGATGTCTGCTGTTTGGGTGCTAAGTTCACCACAGATTACTGAGTTGGGACGGGGTGGGGGCCCCGACCTGGCTGGGGCTCTCGAAAGGCTTCCTGGAGGTGACCTTGAAATGGGACTGGAGGGAGGATGAGTAAGAGTCAGCCCAGCACCAGGAAAGAAGAAGAGTGGGGAGCCAGGGGAGGGACGTTTGCAGGAACTTTCCAGGCAGGAGGGAGCAGGGCCATCTGCGGAACTTAAGGCTGGACAAGCATGGGGTGTTAAACATGTCAGGTTACCCACTTTTTTGGGGGGGGTGTTGCCTGTCACAGGACAGAGGTCTTTGGAGTTGCTCTGAAGCATTACGGCTTCTACAGCCTGTCACTGAGCAGTGTTCTGGGAGGGCTTCGTGGAGGGGGTGGCATCCCAAGGGCTTCAGTTCAGTTTGGTTTAACTCTGTTCCACCTACACTCACTAGGTGCCAGTTCTGAGTCTTCAGAGATGAAATTGACATGGGCCCCGCCCTCACGGAGCCCACAGCCCATGGTGGGACAGAGACACACTAAAACCAGTTCATAGTCAAGGCAAAGCAGTTGCCTGAGAGAGGGGACGACAAGCTCTTTCCAGGTCGGGGACAGGGAGGGAGGTGTCTGGGACGTTTCCCCACAGTGCGAGCTTGTGCGATTGCCCTGGAGGCCTCTCTGGTGTTGGCAGGGAGATTTTAGCCTCTGCCCCACCCTATTCCTTCAACATGTGCCTTTCCAGTGTGTGCCAGTGGCATTTCCTGAAATCTCCAGTAACTGACAGTTTTTGGTGTGCACTAGGGGTGGGCTGGAAGGCCAGGGAATTAACACCCAAGGATTTCCCTCTGCCAATGGGAGATGGAGAAGGTGGTTAAGTACCCCAGCTCCCTGCCTCCTCTGGGGGATGCCCTGAGCTCAGTGGCCCCAGCCAGACGGAGCCCCAGTTCCCGCGCAGTAACAGCTCAACAGCTGCTGTCCCTTCCCCTCGGCTGCCTGGAGTCACTTCCCAAATAAACCGCTGGTGCCACTCCCTCATCTCGGTGTTTGCTTCTGGGGGGACCCAACCTAAGATGGGAATGAACACTCATTCAGCAAATATTGGGTGACCAGCCGCAGCGTCCAGCCTAGGAGGTGGGTAACGTTTATTCTGATCATGCCTTGGAGAGAATGTTATGCAGCCTTGAAAAATCGTCTCTCCAAAGGGTAGGTAAGGGCAGAAAAACAGTAGAGACAATGTTTTCCTCTTTATGCTTACCTGCGTTTAAAATTTCTTATGTAATAGATCAGTATTTAAGAAAAATAAAAAATAAAACCCAACTGCATAGAGCTTTGTGACTTTGGTCCTGTTGTAGCCCCTCTCTGGGTCTTGGCCTCTGCCATGGAACCATGGACTGCAAGTCCCTAGACTCTGGGGCTGGAGACTGGCCCTTCTATCTTACCTGTTCCCACAGGTTCGACAACTATTCAGCCAACGTGATGGTGGACAGCAAGCCCGTGAACCTGGGGCTGTGGGACACGGCAGGGCAGGAGGACTACGACCGCCTCCGGCCGCTCTCCTACCCGCAGACGGTATGCTGCCCAGCCCTCCTCGTGGTCCTGGGCTTTGCATCCCTGTTGCCTCTGCCTGCTGAACCCTGACCCTCCCCTTAAGGCCCAGCTCGAGGAGTCCCCGCCCTCCATCAGGCCCCTGTCATTACCGTGCCCTCTGTCTTCCCAGCCCCTCTGCCTCTTGGGCTGCTGCACCACCTGGTTCTCAGTGGGCGGGGCAGGCAGACTCTGGACCAATGGGAGCTCAGGATGGCCGGCTCTGGGGGTGCTAGGGGAGGGGAGGAGGGATGGGGGCACATCTGCAGGTGGCTGCGTGGCTGCTGGGCTCTGTCTCCAGGGTGGCAAGGAAAGCGCTGGGGCTGGTGACCAGACGGCAGGTGGGGGGTAGGTAGTGAGTGCCTGGTGAGGAGCATGGATTCTGGAGTTCCAGATGGCAAATGCTTTAATCCTTGTAAACCTCACTTTCCCCATCTGTGGAATGGGGCAGCAGCAGCACCGCTACAGTGTTGTGTGAAGATTAGCTACTTAGAACAGGCTCGGGCCGTTAGGAAGTGTTGGATAAACAAGCAGCAGCCTGGTGTAGAGGTGGGAAGGGAATCCCTGCTCTGCCGAGTCCTAAGCGCCCAGCATCCCCTGGGCGCTCCAGCCCTCAGTGGCTGCCCAGGTGTGGGAGAGCCCAGGTGGGATGCCTCCAGGCCTCCCCTCACGAGTAACCCTTGTCTGACCTCCCAGGACGTCTTCCTCATCTGCTTCTCCCTTGTCAGCCCAGCCTCCTATGAGAATGTCCGGGCCAAGGTGAGCGGGATGGAGCGGGGGTCTTGGGGGGATGGGGCAGGTGACCCTGAGGGAGGGGAGCACGGGAGGGAGGGACCGCTGACTTTGGCCTGCCTCTGGGGCAGCAGAGGATGTGGGCAGAGAGGGTCCCTAGTGCCACCCAGGGCTGGCGGGGGGGACTGGGGGTGAGACAGACGGGGTCTCAGAGGGGGCTGTGATAGTTAGCTTTACTCTCTAACCTGTCCTCTCTCCTCCCCACACACCCTCATGACTCCCTATTATCTCCTCCCGGCTTGGTGCCCCTCTTCTCCGCCTACCCCCTGCACAACCTCCTGCCCCCACCCACCGGCCCAGTGGTTCCCGGAGGTGCGGCATCACTGCCCCAGCACGCCCATCATCCTGGTGGGCACCAAGCTGGACTTGCGGGACGACAAGGACACCATCGAGAAGCTGAAGGAGAAGAAGCTGGCGCCCATTACTTACCCGCAGGGCCTGGCGCTGGCCAAGGAGATCGGTACAGGGCTCGGGCTCAGACAGGGGAGCTGGGTGCAGGGGGATTGGAAACATAGCTTCCAGGGCCAGGCTGTGCGATTCCACCCTGGGTGTGCCGTGTACTAGCTGTGTGACCCTGGACGAGTCACTTAGCCTCTCTGGGCCTGTGTTTCCTCCTCCGTGAACCATGGCAACAGTCGTAGTGCTGGGTGGTTGGGAGGATTAAATGAATTCACGCCCGTGAGCTCCTAGAGCAGCACTGCACGTGGGAAGCACTTTGTGTTAATTGTTATTATAATATTAGTATAATCCATAAACAGACATCGAAATAAGTGCATTTGGACAGACAGAAGCAGGGATGGAGGGGGGTGTGCCGTGGTTTCTCAGAGGACGAGCAGCCAAGTCAAGCTTGGGTTTTCCGGGAAGGCTTCCTGGAGGTGGTGCTTCTGCTTGAGTTTGAAGGGTGACGTCTTTCCCTCTGCATCCTTCTCACCCCCCATTCCTCACCCTCCTGGCTTCTCAGCCCAACTCCTCTTTGCCTCCCGGCCACTGGGCCAGAGAAGTGACTTCTCAGGGTCACGCAGCTGGTAGGTGGCAGAACCAGGATTTGAACACAGGACCACAAACCGATGGCTTGGGGGCCTCCTCGTGGTGGCTCAGGGCTGCCTGCACTAGGGAGGTGATGACCGATGGGTCTGGCCTCTTCCGTGGCGTCCAGGTCTGCTGTCCTTTGCCTGGGGACAGGGTACTTGCCCAAGAGCCTGGGACCACCAGTGGGGTTTGGCCACTATGAGAAGTGGCCCAGCTGCCCAGGGTGCTCTGCTCACCACAGGGTCCAGCAGACCCAGGGTTTGGCCCCGAACTGGTGGGGCCTGCTGCAACCCATCCCTCCCTCAGCCCTACCACTCTTCCTTCCGCCGGAACTGGGAGGGCCCTGGGGACTCACATCTCTTCACAGGAAGAGAAACCACAGCCGTCACCCCCTCCTTCATGTGACTAGACCAGTGACATGGCCGTCTTTCCCAGGGGCCTCCGCTGCCACTTAAACCCTGGGTCCTTTGTCCCATCCTAGGGGCTCTGGCTCTCAGGCCCTCTGGTCTTTCCTCACGAATATTGGGGATTGCACCCCTGCCTTCTCTTCTTTCTGAACAGCCTGTCCCCCCGGACTCCTTCCACCCAAGACAGTGACTCTCCAGCCTGTGTCCGACCCCGTCCTTCTTAAAGCACAAGGTTTCGGATGAGATGGGGCCTGGAAGCCTGGATTCTGGTCCTGGCAATGACTGTCTGTGTGACTTTGGGCCAGTGGCTCCCCCTCTCTGGACCTCAGTTTCCCCATCCGTACTAGCCAGCCTATACACTCCCTAAAGTTCCTTTCTCCTTCATGAGGAGATGAGTTGGGGTTCCTGCCTTGGCCTCTAGCCAATCCTCTTGGAGCCAATACCAGCTGGGGGTGGCCAGGGGCAGTGACTAATGACTCTGAACTTGCCTCGGACAAGCCCAGGCCAAGGGGGAGACCTGGGGGGCCTGCAGGCTAATGAGGACAGCAGCTGCCTCTGCCCACCAGTCCCGGGTGACGCGTTGTGGGGCAGCTCTGATCCCAGCTGCTAATCACAGGATTGGGCGCTTCCTGGGTGCTGGGCCGGTGCATTCTCCTGCTTCATCGTCATAGCAACTATGAAGGAGGGACTGTCATCGTCCCACTTTACAGAGGAGGAAAACTGAGGCTCAGGGAGAAGTCACTAGCTCGAGGCCACCCAGCCGGGATGTGCCAGGGCCGAGACTCGAATCCGGGCTGCGTGGCTCCCCCAGTCATGATCAGGGCGGTCTGCTGCCCCCACAGGTGGGCGACTGGGGAGCAGAGAGGGGGGACAGGCTGAGGTCCTGGAGTGGCCAGGCCTCTCCTCAGGACCCTTTCTCTAGACACCACTGATCCAGGAAGCAGGAGGGTGGCAGGTGCCAGGGAGGACGCAGCTGGAAGGTGTGGAAGAAAGAAGTGGACACTGGCTACGGTCCCTTGCAGGGAGACAGTGGCCAAATGCCCAGTGACACCCTTCTGGGCACAGAGGGTTATGGTGACGAGACTCCCAGACCCAACTCGGGGTGCTCCGTACCTGCCAGCCGAGCCCTGGGACCACTGCCTGTGCTCCCTGGTGGGACAATGCTCCCACGTGCAAGGGAGACATCCAGTGTGTGACTCAGGACAAGTGACATCCTCTCTGAGCCTTGGTGTCCTTGTCCTTGCCCCACACTTTCTTTCCCTCGTCCCTGGGCTGCCCCTCCTGAGATCTTGGCTCCCCTCTCGCAGCTGTGTGTCTCTGGCCCCGGGGCATCCCCTCTCTGGGCCTGATTCCTCACCTGGGAAGCGGGGACTCACAGAATTTCTTCACAGGGTTGTCGGAAGCGCCCAGCTCAGTGCCTGGCAGGGAGCAGGTGCTGGTCAGCGTTGGTCTGCTTCTTCCCCCCACGGAAGAGCAAAGTTCCCCCTTCCTGCCCCTCTCCTTCTCTGTTTTCAGTTGCTCACTTCAGGGAGACTGCTTGGGTTGTAATGGACACAGGAGCTCTCACAGGTTCCTTCCAGAACGTCACAGAACACTGCCCCTGGGAGTGGGGCTCAGCCTACCTTCCTCACTGTCTGTGCTCCGTGCTCCAGCCCTGAGTGGTCACGTGGGAGAAGGCTGGTCCCCTCATGGGGGAATGGGTGCTCCCCAGTTCCCATTCCTCTTGCTGAGGGCCCCCAGCTGCCCCTGGCGGAGGGGAAATGTCTAGTGTGTGACTTTGGATAAGTGACTTTTCTGAGCCTCAGTTTTCTCAACTGTAAAGTGGGGAGATGCGAAGGACTGGTTAGATGAAATTTGGAATGTCCTAGTGAGCGGGCCACGGGTTCCTCAGGCCTCCCGGGGGAAGACGGAGGCAGGCATGTGGGAATTTTCTAGAAGAAAGTGAGGCGCCGAGAAATTTGGTCACCGTAGCTTGAGCCCCTTTCTTGCCAGGACGGTATCCTTCCTTAAAGGGCTTTTGTGTCCAAGAAAGACACAGACCTGCTCTCGTTGTGGGGGGGGGGGGGTCTTAACCTCTCCCTCTGAGTAAAACTCCCCGTTTCCGACATGAGGAGACTGAGGCACAGAGGGGTAAATACCCTGCTCTGAGTGACACAGCCCAGGTGGCCGCCACAGCCAGTGCAGTTGCGTGGCTTGGGACGGGGTTTTGCCCAGCCCTGACCTAGGCCTCTACCCTCTTGCTGCCCTAACCTAGACTCAGTGAAATACCTGGAGTGCTCAGCCCTCACCCAGAGAGGCCTGAAAACCGTTTTTGACGAGGCGATCCGGGCTGTCCTCTGCCCCCAGCCCACGCGGCCACAGAAGCGGCCCTGCAGCATCCTCTAGGGGTAAGAGCCCCTCCCTCCCCTCCCCACGCTCCCCCCCACCCCCGCCACACACACAGCAGGCTCTGGCTGGGAGGGAGGCGTCCAGCCACTGTTCAGTGGCCCTAGGTTTCATCGGGAGTGGCATTTAGGCTGCGACAGAAGAGGGACCATCAAAGGGGCTTCAGGTTGCCCATTTGCCTGAGCCGGTCCTGCTCTGTGAGCCCAATTCCCAGAAGGAAGGTTCAAAGTGTCAGAAAATGCCAGGTAACCTGAGGCAAGGCGTGGTGTCACTGAGCTGCCCCTCTGCCGTCCCTGCAGCAGGGTGGGGAGGATCACGGCAGAAAGATACCTCAGCCCCTACCCCTTGGAAGAGGCCGCTTGAGCCGGGGAGACCTGACACCCACATATAGGGGTGGAGGTAGGACAGACTGAGTTATGAGGCTACTGGGGCAGAAGAGGGATGGGTAGGGGTTGGAGGCACCCACAAGGCTTCCAGGATGGGTGGGACAAGAAGGACGGAGAGGACTTGGCCAACCTTGAGCAAAAGCTGGGAGCTGGAATGAGCCGTGAGCCAGGAGAGCCGGGAGCGGGCTGTGGATTCTGTTTGGCCCCCAATTCTCACCCACTGCCTGTCTCCTTTCCAGGACACACCCAGCCCTCCCAGCCAGATGGTTCTGACCCTCCGGGGCCCCCACCCAAAGCCCCAGGACATCCCCGCTGGCCATGCTGTCCCCTTCCTGTGGCGTTTCTTAGCAAGACGGCTGCAGAGCTTGGCTCATCATCTTCTCTGTGCTGGAGTCCCCCCCGGGGAAGAGTGTGCACTTGTAGGTGCTGCGTCCCCATCCCCTCATGCTCCTGCCTTCCCAGGGGCCAGAGGGGAGCCCCAGGACCGATAAGCCACCCCTGTGTTGCTGTGGTCAGATGCCCCACGTGGCATCATCTACCTGTTTACTCCTCCCTCCCAAAGCCTGAATCCCCTCTGGAAACTTCGGGCCAGATGGTTGCCGGCCACCACTTATATACCTTCAGGGACGGGTCTCTTGCTCTCCCGTGAGGCAGTCTACTCCAATATTGATGGTCTTGCTTGTCTGAGGTTCTCCTACTGAAGCTAAATTAAGTGTCTGAGAAGTTTGCTCTTCTGGTCTTAGTGCTCCTTTTGGGGACAACACAAAACATTCAGATTTTCTAAATCTCTGTGGGCACCTGCCCAGCCAATCAAAAGGCTGGGTCCTGCTGACTCCTGCCACCTCTCAAGTCTTTCTGCTCCACTCACAGGATCCTGAGCTGCATTTACCTGTGACAGTCTTAAAACTTGCAGACCCTGCCAGTCGGGATTTCTGTCATTGCAACTAGGAACCCAATTCAACCTGCTTAAGCAGAAAATAAATTTACTGATTCAAGTTTGGAAATATATGACTTCAGGTGCAGCTTGATCAAGGGGACTCAAATGATGTCATCAGAGCTCACTTTCCTGTACCTTCTGATGTCTGATTCATTCTTAGGCAGGTGACTCTCAAGGGCTTCATCCTTCCCGTTTCAAGTTCAGCAAAAAAGAGCAAGTGTCTGCCCCCGGCAAAGTTCTAATTAAGGTTTACTCTGATTGGACCAGCTCAGGTCTTTTCAACCAATCACATTTGTCAGGAGAATGCTGTGTTCTGATTGGTCAAGCCTGGACTACATGCCACACGAGAGCATGGAGCGGAGGCAGCCCTTTCAAAACCATACCCACTAGAGTGGAGGGAGGGGTTGGTTCTCAAAGGGAGACTGAGAGTTTTGCCAGAATTGGGGAATATGGGTGTCGAGCAGCCAGAAACCCCTAGTCTCCACTATTGGAGGTCCCAGGAAAGTGTCCCAACAGTGTAAGGAAGCAATGCCGGACCCAGCAGGCACAAAACACAGGCAAGTTTCTTTAAAAGAGAGATGGGGCTGCTGTAAGGATTTACGAAGCTCATCCCTAAAGCGCCAAGGTACAGGATGGAGCCAGTCCCACCTCAGTGTTTGCTAATTCACAAATGCCAGACCTTCCAATCCTGCGGACGACTGTGCTTCTCTATCTAAATGTCATCCACCCATTCAACACGAATTCACTGAACACCTACTCTGTGCCAGGCATTGTTCTGTGGTCCAGCGGTACACCCAAGTTCTTGCCCTCAGGGGCTGACACTCTAGAGAAGCTAAAATAAAGGATTAAAAAAAAGAGATATAAGACCCCGTCCCTGACGACACAGAAGTTCCCCCAATTCCCAGCCAGTGAAATGATTTGGGTTTCATTTTCTGCTCTTCCAGGCTCCCGGCCACTTCCACTGCCCCTCGTAAGTCCTGAAGTTCTGATGCAAGATCTCAGCTCACTGGCCTCCTGAGAGCCCAACCCTCTTGAAAGGGATGGGGTGCAGGGGGGAAATCCCGTGGCCTTTTTTAGTTTCAGCTCAGACAAGGTCGTTATGCTTTTCAAGTGACTTCTCTGAAACAAACCAAAAAACCACTAACACCCCTGCCCCACCCCCCAACACACGACACAGATACAGACATGTATGTGTCAGAACTCACACCCTAAAACATCCAACGTTTAAAAGCCCTGAGAAGCGCCTTCCAGTGGGCCAGAGTCGAGGAGAGCCTCTTTCTGTTTCCTGCTCTTCCGGGGCCTCAAGAGAAATTCAGGACCATCCTGGTGGCCCCAAGGCCTGGCTGCACCCCACCTCCCTCGCTCGTCCTGCGCTTACACCTCCTCTGCCACGTGCCTCTTCCCCTGAGCCTACCCCAGTGGATGCAGTCCTTGTTTTATACCAATAATAAAGTCAGGAAATAAATCCTCTCACCATTGTGTGGTTTCACCCGGCACATATGATCTCATTTAATTCTCCTAGCAGCCTTCCAATGTAGTACTAACATCTCTGTTTTGCAAAGAAGGAAATAGAGGCACAGGAGTTAGAGCTCAGTTCACTAAGGCAGACACTGTACTTTCCCACCTGATACCACTACTTCCACCCTCTTTGCTAACGGGATTCTAGTTTTGTGCAAAGCAGCAGTGTATTTAGCCCCAGACAAAAATACTTGTTCCCAGCCTGCTTTGCAACTGGAGTTCCAAGTTCGCACAGTTCTGGCTAACAAGACATAAGTGAAAGTCAGCTGGAAAGGTAGCTTCTGTGAAAGTTTTTGTTGTCTTCCATAAAAGAATAAGGGACCCAGCCAACACTGACCATTGCCCTGGCCCCTTCCCTGATGAATACTGATGAGAAGTCTGGAGCTGCAGCAGCCATCTTATGAACCTGAAGCCACAAACATGAAAATACAACCTAACGTGCTAAGAATGGAGTAGCAGAAAGATGAAAAGAGCCTGGATTCTTCACAACTTTGGTCAGCAGCTGAACAAATGCCAGTGGCTGCCTTGTTAAGGGAACAGAGCAAAAATGAAACCACTTATTTGTTTATGTCACTGTTAGGCCTTCTGTTACTGTTAGTTGACAGCATTTGTAACTGAGGTCTTAGGACTCCCAGCTCTGTGTTCCTTCTGCTGTATCATTGTGTCCAGAACTCACTGAGCATGGGGTGAGTCACTCGTTTCTGCTTTGCAAATTGGCTGAGGACCAGAACCCCTTCAGATAGGAAAGAGAAACCTCGAGGGAAGTCGGTGAGGAGTTTTGAAACAGGAAGAACTGTTAGTTGTGGGCAGGAGCTGACAACATGGCGATGCTCACTCATTTGACAGCAGCCACTCCCATGGACCCTCCTGGTGCCAGGCCCAGGCTGGGTATCAGGGCTTGGGTGCGTTATATTTGGCCTCTTGCAATAAAATCATCATCTGGTGGCAAAGGAAAGCACCTGCCAGATAATTCTGCTTCATTTGGGGCTCTCTGTCTTGGAGCCTGGCTTCTCCTTGTTTCTTCTTCCAAAGCAGAGGCCTGGGGGTCACTCTGACTTCTCCCATTCTGTCCCCCCAGCATTCACTGGTCACCAAGCCTGGAAAATTCAGCTTCCCAATATCTGTTAAACCTACCCCTCATCTGGCCCACTGCCACTCCCTACTGTAGGTCTTGCAACCATCCCCTGGACAGTAGCTACGGCCTCCTCACTGGCCTCCCTGCCTCCACTCTCCCTGCCTTCTCCAACCTTCATCGGGAAGGCTGGCGGAATCTTCCTCATTTACAAACGTAATTACGCCACTCAGATGCCTCGGTGTAGCGTTACCATGATCCTAGCAAGTACCTGGCACCTAGTGGATGCTGATAAATGTCTGTTGTTTATATAAATGAATAAGCAGGTGAAAGAATGGACTTTAAAGGAGAGAGAGAGAGACCCAGCCCTTCTAGTGACCCAGCTGGGCCCAGCCTTCCAGCATCCTCACCATACATGAGCCATCTCGGACGTGCCAGCCCAGTCGAGTCCCCAGAGGACGGCAGCCCCAGCCAGCACCGTGTGGAGCAGAACAGCTGCTCCACTGAGCCCAACCAACTCACGCAATCATGAGAGATGACACCATGGTATACTGAAACAATGCCTCTTCTGGGGCCAAAGTCCTTGCTGTCTCTTCCTTTGATCTCTTACTTCTCCCTGCTACCCTCTTAACTCCTCCACTGCCCAAGAAGTATTCACCTCTGGGGACATCTGATTCTACCTAGGCCTCATGGGATGTGCGAGGCCGGGCAGAGTAAGCTCTGGGGAGTGAGACAGATCTAGGATAGTTCTAGAAGACTTCTGAAGGCTTTGAGAAAGTGAGATGATGAGCAGTCATCCATGTAATCTGAGGTCCAGATCAATTCAGTTCCCACGTGCTAAGACTATGCTCTGTGCCAAGTGGCGCTGGGAGCTGGAGGTGCAGAGAGGGGTGAGACCCAGCCGTCTGCTCCCCAGGGGCCCAGAAGCCAGTGGGAGAGACAGACGTGTAAATCAACACCTGCCACGGGGTTTGATCAACATACCACAAAAATGTACTCAACAGCAAACGGAAGAGACCCTGGTTTCAAGGCGCCAGGTAGAGATGTTTCCGCCCCCTCACCCTGGCTGAAAAGCAGCACAAAACAGAAACACAAACTCTCTTCTTCAAAGAAACCAGGAGACACCTGTGACCCCAAACCACAGCACGCAAGCACAAAGAGCAGATGGAGGGGTGGTAAATGATTTAACAGGGCCCAGGAAAGACAAACCTAAGTGCCTGCTGTTCCATGGCAGGGTGGGGTGGGAGGCTTGGAGATGGGGAAGATGCAACGAACTGGCCTTACAGAACCACAAGGGGGCTCCAAATTAGGGGACCCAGATACCATAGATGGCGAGGCAGGAGCCTGAAAACAGGTGGGTTGTTTGGAAGTCTGTATAAGGAGCAGTTAGACCCCCTGGTCCTCTCCCCTGCGCTATGCAGCCTGGCAACAACCCTTCCCCAACACGGGCAGGGAAACCCAACTGGAGAGCTCTGGACCCAAGGACACCAGCCGCAGAGCAGGTGCGGGTGAGGCTCCAGACTGATTATTGGCAATGTGGCAGATTTGACTGCACTTAGCAGATAATCACTCCCTCCATCCTCTACCTCTGGACGAGGAGCGTACTTCCCCGCTCCACTGATGCTGCCTCGGCCATGTGACTTGCTTTTGGCCAGTGGGATATTAGCATATGCCTCACAAGGAGTGATTTGATGTGCTTGCCCCATGTTCTCTTGCGCTGACAAAAGAACAGGCCCTGGCAAGCCTGCTGGTTCTAAGAGTATAAAAGAAATAGGGAGCAGGGGTGTCCAGATGACCTGCAGACCTGCAGCTCAAAGCGGATCAGCCTGGCTGAGCCCAGCCTACATCAGCCAATCCCCACTGACCTGAAGGTGTGTAGTGAAATAAATGCTTATTGTTGTGTACCACAGAGGTTTTTGCGGTTATTTGTTACACAGTAGTAGCTGACTGATATGGGAGCATTCAGTGAAAGTCTGAAGGCTTAACAGGGTGATCCCAGCTCCCTTCCCTCACCCAATTTAGGAATGCAAGCACCCAGGCATACATTCATCCCAGACAGGAAGCTGTGGATGGGATCTGACCACCCCAGTGAAAAGTCTTACAGATGCTGACAGCTGGTGGCATCTGGATGTTCTTGACAAAACGTTCAGCTGTTCCTACAGAGGTGTTCACTATTTTGCAAGCCCTGTTCACTATTTTACATAGAGCTTCCAGTCCAATTTTTAATGCTTTATTCTGCAAGGTGAATGGATAACCAAAGATGACTGTTTAATTGAGGAAAGTTCTAACATGAAAGAGATCCAATGAAACAAATAGAAAAAAAGGATCTAGCAAGAAATAGAGACAATGCAGTGATCAGAAGAAAACTTTAAAGAAACCATCACTGCTATCCTTAGAGAGAAAAGGAAACATATTATATCCACAAATAAATACAGAATGCCATAACACATGAATAATCAGAAAACAGAGAAGAGCTCTTAGAAATTAAAAATACATTGATTAAATTTTTTTAAAAATAGAGACGCTGGAAAATAAAATAGAGTAAAAAAAAAAACAAACCACCTCTCAGAAGATAGAATAAGATGGTAAAAGTAAACAATAAGAAAATTAGGGCTTCCCTGGTGGTGCAGTGGTTGAGAGTCCGCCTGCCGCTGCAGGGGACATGGGTTCGTGCCCCGGTCCGGAAAGATCCCACATGCCTCGGAGCGGCTGGGCCCGTGAGCCATGGACGCTGAGCCTGCGCGTCCGGGGCCTGTGCTCCACAACGGGAGAGGCCACAACAGTGAGAGGTCCGCATAATGCAAAAAAAAAAAAAAAAACAAAAGAAAATTAAAGGATTACAAAAATGGGCAGAAGACCTAAATAGACCTTTCTCCAAAGAAGATATACAGATTGCCAACAAACACATGGAAGGATGCTCAACATCAACATCACTAATCATTAGAGAAACGCAAATCAAAACCACAATGAGTTATCACCTCACACCGGTCAGAATGGCCATCATCAAAAAAATCTACAAACAATAAATGCTGGAGAAGGTGTGGAGAAAAGGGAACCCTCTTGCACTGTTGGTGGGAATGTAAATTGATACAGCCACTATGGAGAACAGTATGGAGGTTCCTTAAAAAACTAAAAATAGAACTACCATATGACCCAGCAATCCCACTACTGGGCATATACCCTGAGAAAACCATAATTCAAAAAGAGTCATGTACCACAATGGAACATGGAAGCAA